ATTCTGTGTTTTTCTGTCAATATGGGGTGCTGTGTGTACATTAATGAGGAAAAAAATGAACTTAAATGATTTTAGCATATGGCTGCAATATAACAAAGAGTGAAAAATTTAAGGGGGTCTGAATACTTTCTGTACCCACTGTATATCATTAAAGGAACAGAATGATATTAGTGGAAATATGCTTATTTACTTCATGCTTACAATTACACCATATTTACCCTTTGGTTTTTGTAAAACAACCAAATATAATGGATTAATGTGAGCTTTGGAGATGCTGATAGCCTCCTCATCTATGGCTCAATAGGGTGACAGACAGGGCCCTTCCATTGCTGCTGACCTGCTTTATTTCCAGACTGTAAAGGGATATGGTTACCTCCCCCTTCATACTACCATGTCACTAGTACTTTCAAATTACTGAACTGTCTCAACCCTTGCAAGTAATCTGTCTACTCTTCTGTAAAAGCCAGACAAGAAGCCAGACATGCTTCTAGCCTTGTCTTAGTCTTGTCCACAGGCTCTGCAGAAAATAAGTCTGCAAGCACCCTCTGGGTCTTGTTCCCTTGCTTTTCACTTCCATTTTTATGCTTATCACTGCTATCTGTCTGCGTGTTTCTAGCCATAACATCATCCTCACCCACAATTTATCAGATGATTTAATCAGTATGACAAAAAAATGATACAGGGTCTGTGTTATGTAAATATTAGTCCTAAAATGCAACTTTTCCCATACTCATCTGGCATTAATGTATTAGTATAATTAGAAAGACAGCACTAAGTTCCTCCCCTACCCTCCACACACACATTCCCCCTGAGCAGCTCTTCCATCCAGGCATTTCTGGAAGTTTATATCTTACATCACCTGACACATTCCTTTATTGCACAGGAAATAGTCAACAGATGACTTAATTATTAGCAAGAGTGAAATCAGGGAACTGTAGGATATTCACTCAGTATTCACAAGTCAGACAGGCAGATATGTCCCATTTTTAATTTTTAGTGTTATGGTAGAAAAACCCAGAGAGGCCTAAAGTGTACCTGTGTCATGTCACCTGCCACATGGCATGAATAAAAGCAGAACAAATTGCAGTTTCATCAACAGCTGGAGAGGAGATATTGACAGCTTTTAACACTGTACAAACCATGGGTGTGAATTATTCTTTTATGTATCTGTTAAGATACTTGAAAAAGCGAATTCAGCCTCAACCTGTGTTAAGTGCTGGTCCTACTTTACCCCTTTTGCATATTACACTAATTAAAGGTTTGTCCGGTACAAAAATATGCAATATATACTTTATCTCGCTCTCTCTTACTTCCTGATCACTTATACAAGTGGTGGAGTACAAATCCACATCAGTAATAACTGCATGTAACCTGGTGTTTGTTCTAAATGTTGCATTCTGTGATGATGTAGTAAAATCCACGAAGATGGATAAAAAAATTGTATTGTATATAAAGAACAATACTAATAGGCATGCTACAATCATTTTAGAAAAGTTGAAACTCTTCTCACAATCTGAAAAAGCTCCTGGAAAACTCATGACATCGGCACAGGAAAAACATTTTTACTTGCTGTTTGTGGTATTTTCAAACAGGAATTGGTCACCGATGAACTGACATTCATTAACACACACACAGTCTGTTAGTTTGTTCCTACTTGGTGTACTTTATATTAGTGGTATGGAAACAGAACAGAGATTCAAAGTACTTTTAGAACTCTCATATTTGTTATGAACACACCTGTTAGCACGTCTGATTGACGGTACGTCTTGAACATCACCCTTCAAACCTTTACTTAAGGTGGGTAGGCAAGAGTTTGGGGGAGGGGGTTAAGTAGCTGTCCCTGGATGCTCACTTCAGAGGCAGACAGGATGATAATCTCAGTCAAGGATGGAAAAAATCTGGGGATTGGAGTCTGCCTGTGTTATGAGAGGAATGTCTGCTGCCTCACTGGTGTGACCCTGTTCTATTCAACCTGTAATATATTTCCTTGCTGTCAGACACGTCAGGACAAGATAAATATATGTTCATTTTGGTTGAGTGAAGATGTTCGGAGCTGACAGCAAGTCATATTTATCATTATGAGTCTTTAAAATAAACTGACTGAAAGTAATTATTGTCATCACTTTGCTGCCTCATTAAATCCAATCAGCTGATAAATGTCCTGATAACCCAGAAGTGATCCTGGAGTGGAGCAGGTAAATCAGGTAAACATCTTTGCATTAGCATCTTCTTTCACACGGTCAGTTTTCACTGTATGTTACTGTCTACAGGAATAGGCTACAAATAAACTGAGGGTTGGATTTTATTGGTCTTTGTCATGAGTACAGCTAGGGGAATTCAAAGAAAGGGCTTTCATTTCTTAAAATGAAGAAATGTCGCCACCTAGTGTTTAAATTGTGAATTAGTTTAAAAGAAGAGAAATAAAATGCAAACATAGTCTTCCATATTCAGATACTAGATATT